AGGAAAGAGGAAAAAGAAATAGGTGGGATCTTTTAATGTACTCCATCCATTATGAATTCTAGACTACTAACCGTCGTAGGGAAACTTGTGGGTGCATCATGCATCGTCTAGGCTTGTTGACTGCGCCGCACCCAAAAAGAGAAATGGGATTTTCTTTTTTCTTTTTTCTTTTTTCTTTTCTTTTTTCTTTTTTTTTTTCCCTGACCACCCCTTCGTTTCCCCCCTCCCTTGGACATTCTCCCCAGTACTAACTAAAGGCGATTTCTTATTAACTTAACTCTCGCGATCTTGTTGGCCCAACAAACATCTGCCGCTTCTCGATAAGCTGGCAACTTCTATGGACCCTCCGAATCTTTTCCGCTTCGGCCCAACGAATCGTAGTTAGACTTGAACGAGCCCATTCGCAAGTGGAGTCGATCTACCTACCTCGTGGTCAGCACCACCCATGGTTTCAAAGGCTCCGTCCAAGATCTGAGAGGCTTACACCCACGCTCAAGTTGGATACGGCTTTCCATGTTGGGCATAGAAAAGTGATCTGGGTTGTGGCGCTAAGATGGATGACGTACGTTTCGTTTAATCTTATTGACCAAAGAGCTTCTCGTTCATCTGGCAATCGCCAAGACCGGCAGATCCCAGGAATCACTCGCTCTTTTCAAATAAAGGGCTGATGATCGTTTCGGATGCATTCCACACCTCGTGGGCAAGTGGGCTCCAGTGTGGGAAACCCTTACGCCAAGTTATGGCAGACTCCTTCCTCTTTTCGCAAAAGTGGCAAGAGCTGAACCGTCATTTACGGTTTCGAATGTTTCAAATGCCGATAAAATTCACTGTTCGAGACGATCTCGAAGTTTTCTGTGGCTCTGGATTTTCTTAGGGGATTTAGCCGGTCTCACCATGTGGCCTGGGGTTCCTAGGGTCCACCTGTTGATAGATTCTGTCTGTACGGCCATCGGCTCGATAAAATTTCAAGAAGCCCGAGGTTCTATCTAGAGGCAACGCCAGCCAGCCCAGTTCGATACATTGGTAGCGCGGCCCAGTATCATTATGCATGACTGGCTCCGGCCTATCAGAAAGACTCCAGCGTCAAGCAACCCCGTCTATTAGCTAGGGTAGTAGGTAAGGGTGCCGGGGGATTGCTAATTGCAAATTAGAGCAGAACTTGTAGGCCGGGAGGGCCGGAAAATGCACATAGCATCGCGCCAGACCCATAGTAATAACTTGTTGGAGGAAAGGCGCTACGCCCGTCGTAATCGACGCCCCCTCTCACAGGGTTTTCTGTCCTCTGCGCACGCCCATTGGCGTTCTTCACGGCAGAGGGACCGTTGTTGAACAGGGGGTTTTATTGTTGGGAGCTCATCTGCTCGGGAATCGACCCTTACTCTTAGCGACAATCTGGAGACCCAAGCTATTAGGTATTTTAGGGCCACAATGTGCCTAGTTCCAAAAGTACCCGGCCAGATGAGGCTTTGCGGGCTCACCTCCCCGCAAGAACGAGCCTTTTTTTCGTGGCCGTCACAAAACGAAGGATACAACTTTCCTCTATCCACCCGCTTTCTATCAAGTGGTTCCTCCCTCGTTCGCTTGGGCATGCACACCATATTTTAGTGCGATCCACGCATATGGCACAACCAGTCGCATCCTGAGGTCCTGGATGATTCGATCCCTGTAGCCCGCCCTAGAAACTGGGATGTATCACATTCATCTCTTCGATGTTTATGCCTGTCACCCCTCAAGGACGCGCCACCCCCCTCCCTCAGACACTCTGTCGATTACTATAGCAAGCACATGATGGCTTCCAACCCAGACCCCCAGCCTAAAAAACGAGAGTCTCGTGCTGGGACGCGAAAGGTGACGTCTCTCTCGGCAGAACAACTCGAAAGGAAGCGCGCCAACGATCGGGAGGCCCAAAGGACTATTCGTCAGCGGACAAAGGAGCACATCGAACGTCTGGAGCACCAAGTAGCGGAGTTAAAATCAAAAGGGGAACAATATGATCATGTCGTCCGAAGAAATACTGCTTTAGAAAACGAGATCAGGGCTTTAAAGCAACAACTAGCCTTGGTAAGAAGCGGACAAGCCTATTCAAGCCCAGGTGTGTGACATCGTCCTTACCGCTTGTCATGTGGCGCGGTTGCAATGCGACCATGACTGACTGTTTCTGAAGCAGGCGAGGGCTCATACAATACCCCTTCTGGGCCAGTACTTCCTTCTCAATTCACAGAGCCCTTGAGTGTAAATCCAGTTTCCAGGACTCCATCGGCTCTTTCAACCTCCAGTCAAGTCTCCGTTGTGCCTGACTGGCAACAGTACGGTTCCACAGGGTCACCATCTATCTGTGAATCGTCAGATGCAGATTATACGAACAGGGTAGAACCTTTTATATTCGAAGGCCAGTTACAAACGTCGAATCCGATGCCTGTTGCAGCACCCCAAGCTAGCTTCAATACCCCCACCGGCCATCCTACTGAGCCCGGTTTCCACTCATATTCACACTTGTACCCAGGAGGGGGTCCCAACCAAGTGCGCCGAGGGGAGCATCCGCACAACCCTCAACACGTGCAATGTGCGACAAGTCAACGCTCAATGTCTGTGCCAACTATACCGTCAGAACGGGAACTTCGTGGATACCCTGTGATTCACGCCGCGCAACAGTATCAACAAGCCCCGGAACAGCCCCCAAGAAACGATTACGGTTATGACTGGACTCGTCGACAGTGATTCCGCTGGCAAGTGGTCATTAAAGGTGATATTTCTTCATTGTGGCCTAAATGTCGATACACAAATTTAATACTGGTATCCAGTACGCGACGAGAATGTCCGTGCAGTTCAGGCACGAAGCAAATATTCGACCCTCTACACCAACCCGTCCATGGGGCAGCAGTGCGTACGCTGGTCTTATCCACCTTGTCATGGTAAATATTTCTCTTTTCTACTATCGGCCCCAAAGCAAGGCCCCTTGCACGGTACTTTGCTCATTATCGCTATGGGTTCATCTCAACTCAACATCCCACTCTATAGCGGGCTACCTTTTCCCTATTATAATAGTAATAGCCTGGAGTATAATACCTAGAAACCGATCAGTCGCCCACCTGACGGAAATGATTAATGATGATAACTACCGAACCATTTACGTTACGAAGTTTTGCAATGAATATGTTCTGTGTTGCAGTGAATGGCTCTTGGGCATGCATGATACCTTGAATACGTACTAGGTTTCCCGAGCTTCTCTAGAACACGGTATGAGATCTGCAACGACGAAATGAATTATACAGTACTCCGTATATTTCTTCGGCATTTGTCCCGGTGCTGACGCCTTGCACCCCACCTAAGGCCGAGTTTAATGTAAGGGATAGAGTAGTATGTCCGGCCTTATCGAAGGGGGATTCGATTTAACAGATTAAACCTATCACATCATTCTACAGCAAAAGTCTGTTTATAAATAGAATGTTTAACGCGGTTTTCAAAATCAAATGCTAGTTTATCATACAAATTGTTCATAACTCTAAGATCAGCAGGGGCATACCATGGAGCTTGCGGTCATCAAGTGACTACATCCCTCAAGAACGTACGCCAGTTATCTAGCAACACCAATAGAATAATAAGGCTTCATATTTAGTGAGTTTTAGTTAGTATACTGCTTCTGCAGAAGTTTCGCGATGGTCTGCAGCTGAATATTGCTGGTTCCTTCGTAGATAGCGCCGATCTTGCTATCACGGAACATCTTCTCTGCGATGCCCTCACGCACAAAGCCCATTCCGCCCATCCATTCAACTGCAGAGCCGGATACGCGGCCTGCAACCTGGGAGGCATAGAGCTTGGCCATCGCGGCGTCATGGACGAAATCTTGACCTGCTTCCTTCTTGCGTGCGGCATTATAGACTAGAGCACGCGCTGCAGCAATTTCGGTGTAGGCCTGTGCCAACTGATGCTGCATGCCTTGGAAGGTTCCAATGAGCTGGCCAAACTGGCGGCGGTCATTCCAGACATAGCTGTCGTCAATAGTTAGTGAAGATTCTTCGGCATGATGGGGGAAAAAAAATATGTCCGGGCTGTCCTTACCGAGCAGCGTTCTCCCAGGCGCCCAGTGCCAAACCGGTCATCTGAGCAGCAATACCAATGCGACCCTCATTAAGGACGCTGATGGCATACTTGTAGCCCTGTCCTTCTTCACCGAGGAGGTTGCTCTTGGGAATCACCACGTCGTCGAAGTTGAGCACGCAGGTGCTGCTGGCGCGGATGCCCAGCTTCTTCTCCTTCTTGGCAATAGAGAACCCGGGTGTGTCCTTCTCGACAATAAAGGCTGTAATACCCTTGTACCCTTGGCTGGGGTCAAGGTTGGCGAAGACGATGAATACACCAGACTCCATAGCGTTGGTGATCCACATCTTCGAACCATTCAGCTTATATCCATCGGAAAGCTTCTCGGCCTTGGTCTGCAGAGCGAACGCGTCTGATCCAGATGCAGGCTCAGAGAGACAGAATGAGCCAACAGTGCCCGTAGCTAGCTTGGGCAACCACGTCCGTCTGGCCTGGGCATCACCGTATTTCATGATAGCCGTGTTTACAAGTGTGTTATGGACATCGACCATGACACTGACGCTAGGGTCAATCCTTGCCAATTCCTCAATCGCCACGATAGCGGATGTGAAGTTCATGCCGGCTCCACCGTATTCCTCGGGGACCTCAATACTCATCAGCCTTGCTCGAACAGCTGCTCGACAATGGCGGGGTCCATGGCTTCCGCCTCATCCATGTCTCGGACCTTAGGTCCAATCTGCTCCTGAGCGAACTTTGACACTGTGTCGGCCATCATCGACTCTGTTTCGGAAAGAAGGGTGATCGGGGTTGGTGTCAGACTGGACAAGTCGACATCCCGCCGGCGGGATGTGGTAGAGAATGCATGGGTACTGTTCAATCAATGGTAGTCAGTGATGAGTACATGCACATTCATTATATGAGTCTACGCTATTTGGCAAAGCAGTAGTGAGCGAACTACTGGAGAAACACACCTCCGAGCTAAATGAGAGGGCAGTGGCCGTCTTGCGGCCATGCGGAAGGGAGTAGTAGTGCGGCACAGAGGCCGCAACGAGCGGGTAATAGACGCCATTGCAGGGGACTGAAATAGGTAAGTTAAGCTAAAGGCACGGAATCAAATGCTTGACTGCACAGAAAAGAGGGGGAAGAGAAAAGAGAGGAGAAGTGAGCTGGGGAAGAAAGATGGTGTTGGAGCGGAATCACGAGGGCTCCGAAGACGAGCCTCGGTTAACCACGGCTGTCGAGTAGTCGTTCCAGCAAGCTTGCTTCCCCATGGTTTGCCGGCGGCCTTACTCCGGAGTATTTTCAACGGCCCGCGGTACCAGGATTTCCTCTACATTATCAATTTCGCTTTACTACGGAATAAAGATGATCTTCCGATGATCTTAGTTTCGTGTCATGATCTACCCCATTTACTGAACACTGACCACTTTATCCGGATCGAACGCCTTCGACTGAGCGAAGTAGTACCCCCTCTGATTCGCCACGAGTCGTTTCCCAGTCTTGTCGTCTATGAAATCGCAATTGTAGTGCGTATGTCCAAATGCCCACAGACACACTTGGGCATTCTTCCAACATGGTTCTTCTGCGATGTCCGTTGCGAACCCTGAAGACAAAGGGCTGTTGGCATGCACGGGGTCAACAGCCGCTGCCGCAAGGGTTGGACTATGATGACTAAATATCACTATCTTGCGACGCGGTTCCGACTTCACAATCCGAGAAACCTGATCGTTAAGCCATGTTCGGTCAGCCTCATGGGCGGCGCAATGGGCATCGACAGTCCAATCCTCAATGAGATAAAAATCGTTAAGGCCAAAGCTAACATGAGTTTCTTGGCTCTTGAGGACTCTGGAATATAGTATGCAGCCCAGAACGGTAATATGAGGGGAGATATCGTAGCGTGTCTGATCCATGAACACAAACTCCCCCAGCTGCTGACCCTCTTGCGTTCGTTTTTGAATAATGGTCTTAGAAAAGTTTTGCATTATTTCCCTTGCAGCCGTCCAATTAGAGTGGTATGGTTCGTGGTTTCCTAAGAGGAAAAAGACAATCTGAAACTTTTGAAGCTGAGCTTCAAGAAAGATAAACAAACCATCGTCCTTGACATTGCCGATATCGCCCAGAAGTGCTAGGTAGGGAGCTTTGGGAGCGATGTCAAACAAATCATACGCCTCGGGGGCTTCTAGATGGAGGTCAGACAGGATCTGAAAAGACACCATTTGATGCCAAGATATCCGTGTCTCAAGAGCTGATGTTAAGCGCCACTAATACTAGAAAATTGGAGCTTGTGACTGAAATAGCACTGCCTAGTAACTAAGTGGTGTTGTTGGGAAAGATCGCGTCTTTGGTTTGCGGAAGAATCCCCGACCAGCAAGACTAATATCCAGCGAACAACAGATGCAGAATATTCAGCAATATCTCAACAGAGACGAAGTGTTCACATGCAAATTGCGGGTGAAGTTTATTTTCATCTGGTTCAAGCCACACATAGCAAAAGACGATCGAAACTGTGGCGGTGTATTCTTGATGATCATGTGGCGCAGCAATGCTGAGATCCAAAAGGGGGAAAAGGGGTGACCCAATGCTTATCTAATCCAGAGTACAGGGTCACTTTGACAACGTCATTGGCTATGACGATGCCCCTCCAGCAAGACCAAGACTTCTCTTGACGGATATATTACTACTGCCTCTGACTTTCTCAGAGATTGAATACATTTTTACTATCTCTTGTACAGCTGCGTTACCCTCAGTGACTTCTTGTCTAGAGACAATCACACAAAGATTCCGTCTTTTTACACTTAGCGACTGTTCCATCTTCCCCGCAGTATCAACAGTTCCCCGCTTTGGGTAATAAACAGGGGTACCGTCAACTTTATCTCAGACTCTATCGATATCATGTCGGGTACCGCTCATGACCCTCGCCTTCTCTACAGCGTCAACAACATAACTGCTTTCCATATCCAAAATGGCGAGGAATCCGAGCTCACCCCATCGGGGCCTCAAACCCTTTCCCTTTTAATGGTTCCGACCAGTGCTTCTACACCTCAGAGCTCTCATGATGGACCAGCAGAAGAAGATTTCTATCTTCATCTTCATCTCCCTCCAGAGTTGGATCTAGCACTTCCGGCCTCTACACAGATCTATCACCAGCCACCGAACAGCTATTTGATCCCTCGCTGGGATTTGGGTCCAGATGCAGGCGCGTTCATCCGCATACAATTTCCCGCCATTGGGAGTAGCCCTGATAAGGTATCTCAGGAAGATGTGGATACATTTGAAACGATTCTGGCACAATGTACCGCATTCCTCGAGCGTGCAGCCCCACCGAAAGAGCATGCTCCGTACAACCCAGCAGATTTTGCACCAGGTGCAGGTTATGTCTCGTCCACGAGTCCTGATCAGAAGGACCCTCATGGGCGGATAGTGCTCGTTGATGAAGAGGATGGCAGTGTTGTTGGTGAAATGGAAGGGTATGATGTGGTTGAGAAACCTGGCGTAAAACCTGGCTCTAAGAGTAAGTTGGCCTTGTTCTCTGTAGGCGTGATTCATGGTTAACTTTCCCTAGGGCCGGTGGAGGTAGAACTTCCTGCAGAAGGCGAAGGCAACAAAGTCAGCATCAGTAACGTGTCTGAGGAATACTTGCAGATGGCCCGACACCCTGCATATAAGAACTCAACACTGGTCCAAACTTCTGCTACTGCCTCTCGTCTGATCGTGACTGGTTCTTCATATGTTGCCAATATGATGACTAGCGGAGCCGAAACCTTTACCAAGAAGACCAAACCTAACCCTAAGCCAATGACTTTCTCTGAGGCAACCCACTCAAGGTCCGTAAAGTTGGGAATTTCACTCATGGTGCCGCCGGCCTCTCGGCCAAGACTGTTGGCCAGGTCGGTAAGGTTGCGCAGAACTTCGGGGCTTCATTAACCCGTCGTAACCCGGATGCAAAGCGCAAGGGCGACAAGGGAGTGAACGGCGAATACAAGCCGGGCATACTAAACAAATCAATGATCGCATTCTCGACACTGGCAGACGGTATTGAGCAGAGTGCCCGCACCGTACTAACCCATGGCTCTGCTGCTGCCAGTACGATGATCGGGCATCGGTATGGAGCTGAGGCTGGCACTGTGGCGAGCGATTTGACTGGGGGTGTGAAGAATGTGGGACTAGTCTACATTGATGCAACGGGGGTCAGCCGTAAGGCAGTCCTGAAGTCAGTAGCCAAGGGTATGGTTGTCGGTCACATGCGCAACGGAAAGCAAGTTGTGGTCGGTAGTGGTGACGGCGGAGAGGCGCCCCCGGCTGCAGGAGGTCGGAGCAATAGAACCTCAGGATCAGGTGGACGTGATCCCGTTGCAAGACGTCCATCTCCGACCCCTACACCGCCGCCCGCCTATGGTGCCCCGAACACAACGTCGCTCGGTGGAATAAGCATGTCAAGGGGCAAAAACTGAATAAATGCAGGGATTTTGGTATAATTCTCGGCTTTCTATTGTTTTCTTTTCTTAGTCTTGTTCCTCAAGATTTGGAGCTAAATCCTGTGATCATCTTTTCATGATTTTGTTGTCGCTCGGAGCTTATGTCAGTTACAGGACTTAATATCTAGAATTGAAATTCCTTTACATATCTATTATGGAAGGTACCTTATGCTCCGGGGCAAAGAGTCATACTAGATATTCAAAAAGGACTATCCGTTTTAAGCATTGAACATAAAAAGTTTTCTGAATCTGTCTTCTTCGCTTTGCCCTGTCGTGTGGAGAGTGGGTTGCCTTGATCAAGGCCCACTCTCCCGCCTACCTATCAATTGTCAAATACCTACTCTAGATATCTCAGTCTCGCCTATCTACTAACTGGGTGGATACCTCCAATACTAAGCTACGTAAGAAGAAACCTTCTCCGCAGTAGGGCTGTTGCTATATAGTCCAAATATTCAGCCAATATTCCGAGTAGAACCATAATTTGTTGGCAAAAAGCAGAACTGATAGACGTGCCACCCCTCAGATGGACGGCTATTATAGTTATTTTTGTATTTGTTTAGCTTCTGCAGTAAGCATGGCAAGAACGTTTCTTTACTGAAAGGACTGCAAGTATTATGCTATGGTGGGAAATTCTGAAGTGTCCTCAAAGAACTGCAATACTTAGAAAACCATCCATGATCCTAGCCCTCGAAGGATAATTATGTAAGGACCCGATGTCTAGCATGGATAATCCACCTATAAACAGATGCTTTTTATCCTACCAGGTGAGTATCGTATTATTCATCTGAATCTCCGAAACTGTCTTGGCATGAAAACATCCATCCCCATCCTTTTCTATTTCTTTGCCAACGTTACAGGTGTAAATCCTTCCCAACGTCCGCCGCCTGCCCAGCAGTCCGAATTACGTTCTTTGGCTCTACCTGGTACACGAGATAGTCTAATAAAGCAATAGCTTCCCGATTCAGTACACTACTATGACTAGTGTACATGAATTAAAATACCTCCAGCTCTCTTACCGAAGATTTAGCATCACAAGGATATTCGTAGACTCTGCTTGGTATGTAAAATCCTGCCACGTATTCTGATCCTTCTACAGCTCTGCATATTTGCCTCGGCGTTTCAGTTGGCTTTGCTGGGACCGTCACTATAAGACAGTCCTTTCCTACAGTCAGTTATGCGATCTGTGACCATCTCGTGGTTTGGTTGACTAGCGCCCGGCAAAGGCGGGAGCTCTACAGGACCAACGGTGCAAGGAAGGTAGTGTGGACAATATGTCGTGGAAGAAGTCCATGGAGAATAAGAAGAGATCGAAGGACAAAAGGAGAACACCAGTAAGGGGAAAGAATGCACTGGTATAAAGTATCACGTACATACGAGTTCGAGCGATTGGATACGCTTAACTATGTATACGAATGAGGCTTAATCACTGTGCAACCCCATGCGGCGGGTTCAAAGATCTTATACTTGTATATCAAGATGACCAAAAACAATTCAGTGGTCAATTCAGAGAATGGCTCTAGCTTGTACGATAGAACATGAATCTCCCTAAATAGGACTGTTTAGCTGTAGCGTTATTCCACGAGCTGCTTTGAATAACTGATATTGGGTCCCGGCCGCTTCTATGAGGGTCCCGTGTGAGTGCTCAGTAACCGCAGCTTCAATAGTATTTATCCATTGCCCGTAGGGCGATCCTAGCGGCGAAGGTTAAAGGGTCGGCTAATCCGAGATTGCCCTGGATTGTAATTAATCTAGTCGAGTTGAGAATGGGAAAGAAAAGAAGACTGTACGATGGTCTGTTGATGACGAATCTCTCCGAGTATATGCTTTGCGTGTACCTCGCTATCTACCTCCTTTATTGGAATGAATTATTTGAATGCTGGGATGTCCTTGCTGGAGGAGCCTAGTGCTGTATATGCTATACCTCACTGTTGAACACATCCGCAGTATAATACTTATGCATTACTGCACTACTAGTGTAAATTTCATTCACCGAGCTAAAGGCTATGCTGGATTATGACAGGGAACCTTAAACCCAGGACAATGGAGATCTGCTCTGGAATGCGGGACGTAAAGAATGATGATAAGATAGATCGAAAATATGATCGATAAACCAAGGGATATAGAATTTAAGCTCACGAGAACATCAGGATTCCGATTAGTTAACCATTCATTCAAGCACAATTGGTGGGCAGAACTCTGGGTCAGTGACACCCCTACCATGGTTGAGGCCGGAGTGGAGGCTGGGGGTTAAGGGGGTTGGTCTGTTGTCATAGAGACTGTTTGACTGGGCTTGCCGTTTGCTCATTAAGGTAAAGTAGAATAGCAGGAGACTCAAAGTCAGTTGAGAAACACAAGAAACATGCAAATCAACATCAACCACAATAAATCCCTGGGTTAGAAGGGGCAAGGGTACGGAGAGCTCCGAACAGGTAACCCCGTCTCAAGGACCAATCAACAACGGCGGAGTTTTCGCACTGGCGCTTCAAGATGACGATCGGCTCGCCCCAGAGGCTCTAGTGAACTTGCCGTCCCGGGAGATGAAACAGTGGTTCGCTTTACCCCTGATGACTTGGCAACCCTCATTTCCCTTGGTCGGTCTAATTGAAAACACAAGTCGGAATCTAGATTATGGTTCTCTTTAAAAGAAACAAAAAACATCGTTGTGGGTGGAGGTGATATGTGTCTCAATCGCGTGTGTGATGTACGAGGGCTACATAGTATTCCTGTAATCGCACGTACGTTGTGGATGCAGTAGGGTGGATATAGTGGTACCTACTAGTTCCCCATCTTGGACCTGTTGATAGGTAACGGTTATTAGGATGCGTTCATGCTTCAGGATGTAACAATTACTGATAGACAATACCCCAGGTATTAATCGCTATTATTATCTTTGGATTAGCGTCTATACTTTTCCCAACCCATCAAGGTAATGGACAAGAACACGTTCAGGCCTTTGAGAATAATAGGCGATCAGGTCATGTTTGCTTTCGGGAACCTTGACTCTCGAGAACCAGAGAAACAGGAAGTGGATTATCCTACATTATCCACTCAACTATTCCAGGAACGGCATTCGAAAAGATACTGGTCCATATCTAAGGCCCGGAGATTGAGAACTATCTCTTCCGGTTTATCACAATTACTGGCATGACTTTAATAATTATATGGACTTTCAAACAATGTCATAATCATGGTTAATATAAGTCGTTGGTTAATTGTTGGACCCATTGACCGCTGGGAGTGACTGACTTATTCTTTTTATTTTTATTTTTTTTCTTTTCTTTTCTTTTCTTTTTTTTTTTTTTTTTGCCCCAGCCAGCAAAGCAACGTAGTCTACTTTGGTTCTAGTTCCTAGTTGGAAAGTAAGTCAGGTACCAGTACTACTACTACTACCTCTAGTAGGTACCTTAAGCTAGTACTGGTAACTGGTCCGGAAAGGCCAAAAAAAAAATAAAAACTAAAGAAAAAGAAAAAGAAAAATCGAAAAAGAGGGTATCCAGAGCTCCAACTCATACTCTTACTCTTTCTTTTTCACGGGCTTACTCTTTCTTTCCCTTCCCTCCCAACCATCATCCTTTCTTCGTTTACCTTTTCCTACCATTTCCTACCATTTTCTTTTTTCTTGTTCTCCCCTTCTTTCTTTCTTTCTTTATATTTTTTTTCCCCTGGTTTTATCGCTCCTCCCTTGGGTGTCAATTATTTCACCCTGTCGAGGTCCATCCTCTCCCGCGACCCGTTCTTTTTTGGGGTTTGGTTCACTTCCCGCCGAGCTCTTCATCTCCCCTCGCGCCGCCCCCCTGTCCGCTCTCCGGATCACAGAGGGTCGACCTCCACCAACGACCACCCCTCTTGCTTCTTCTTTAATTCTTTTCCTTCAAATCGATCATGCTTCTCGTCACAGCCTACACTCTGCCTTGTCAATTCGTCCAGCAGTGTTGAGCCGGTGAAGCGCTGTGGAAAGAGAACTTTCGCGCCAACCTCGACTCAGTAGGAACGAGAAGTGGGCTCGTGGTGGTTGAAATCGCGTCTCCCGAGGCTGCTTCTCCGCCCGCGTTTGTCGGTCTCGTCTCCGGAGTTCTCACATTCTTTCGAGCCGCAACCCACTCTTAACTGTATTACCCAACTGGGTAGTAGATAGTCGTGGAGAGAGGTGAATTACGAGAGGCAACTCTGCAGTGCAGATATACCCTACTCGTCTGGCTTTGTGGGTAAGAAAACAAAATTTCTATAAACATTTGATGAGAAAAGGAAAACGTTGGAAGGCCATCAATCGATCGGTCCTCTTTACGCGTGTGCTTTCGTTGCCTCTGTTGGCCGTTGGACTATTGACCTGGTGTCCTCGAAATACCAACAATTACTTGGATTGCTTTTGCCTGTGATATCATTTTGAATTGTTTCGCTGGTGGTTGTCAGTGGTCACCCTTGACACCCCTTATCGGTTGCTCCGACCATCGTTGAACTAACTTAAACAATAGCTTAGGTGCCCGACCGAACGGACCAGCAGCTAGCACTCGAATCTAGCGGGCAGGCCTTTTTTACACAAAAAAAAAAAAAGAAAGAAAGAAAGAAAGAAAGAAACAGAAAAAGAAAAATCACACAACCCTCTGGAGGGCTTTGATATATCAACTTCCAACCGCCGATCGCAATTGGTCAATCAAAGTGAAGTGGTCACTCAAAACTCTGTGTACGCGCTCGGAGAAGCTGTCTCGGAAACGCAGTATCATTTCCCCTTAGCCACTGCGGCGCCTTGATTAAACGAGGTATGTCGCCTGCTATGCAAACGGTTCCTCATTTCACAACAGCCCACCCCACCACTATTACTACTTTACATTCCCGTCAGAATTTTGTATCAGCCTCACACTTCAGTTATGCGTCACGTCATTATTCAAATCCCCACTCCGGGTCGATGCAGTAGCCGTGACCGTCAAATCACACATTCGGAGGTATCATGAACAGTGCGCTAAGTTATCAGCAGCTATTCTCTGTCCTGGCCACGACAGGTTTCTCGGCTATGAACGACCTCCAATCGCAGTCCTTGCCACACACCGCTCATGCATCCCCAGCCCTGACCTCGGCGGCGCCTGCGCCCACCCAGAACAACCACCGATCCCCAATATACCCGGACCTTCTCGGTGCACCGCCCGTTCCACCACCGAGAACGTCTTCAACGCAGCGGAGTCACGGCTCAAGCGAGAGAGTCCCAGGATCGCGCCAAGGGAAGAGCAAAGGCGACGAGCGGAGCGCAAACCACCGCGAAAAGAGAAGAGAGGACTCACGGTCCCGGCGACCAGCCCCGAGAACGTCCGAAGACCAGTCCGGAGGGGTGGGAGGGGTGAACAGTCGAAGCCAGGCAGCTTCGTCTTCTGCGCCCATGCGCTCGGAAAACCCCACGGAGGCATTGCCGGGCCAAGGGGCCTTGGTCAAGGAATCGAGCACATTGATCAATCAAGTCATGGTAAGCGACCCGTCGGTGGACGTCGAGCGAGAACAGGTCCGACAATCTGGTACATCGGTATCACCGTCGACTGATGGTACTCCGACCCCTGGGCTGGGCTTGGTGGGTAGTGACGGCGTAGATGATGGAGGTCGCGGCGGGCTGCGGAGTCGGCATGATTACAACGAGAATTCAAATAAGCGGAAAGAGACAACATTCGGTCAGTACATTTTAGGACAAACACTGGGAGAGGGTGAGTTCGGGAAAGTGAAGCTGGGATGGAAGAGGGATGGCAGTATCCAAGTGGCTATCAAGCTAATACGGAGGGAGTCTCTCGGATCGAACCCCAGCCGGCTGCCCAAGATTTACCGGGAAATTTCGATCTTACGCGATCTTTCCCATCCCAACATCGTCCGATTACACGAGATGGTGGAGACTGATAAGCACATCGGTATCATCATGGAATATGCGTCTGGGGGCGAACTTTTCGATCATATCTTGAATAACCGGTATCTCAAAGACAATGCAGCTCGGCGTCTCTTTGCGCAGTTGGTATCTGGAGTTGGTTACCTCCACAAAAAGGGCATTGTCCATCGAGACTTAAAGCTGGAAAACTTACTGCTGGATCGAAATCGTAACATCATCATCACAGACTTTGGCTTCGCGAACACCTTCGATCCGATAGATGAGCTAGGCGAGGAGATCGAATATAATCTTACGAACAAGGAGTTTGTAAAGAGGATGCGCCTTGACAAGCCTAATGCCAAGGGCTTAAGGCGTGGTGATTTGATGCAAACCAGCTGTGGGAGTCCCTGTTACGCTGCACCAGAGCTTGTTGTTAGCGATTCGCTGTATACCGGGCGTAAAGTGGACGTTTGGAGCTGCGGTGTCATCTTGGTAAGGACCTGAACCGATGGCGTTTTTTGTTTGTAATCCACCCTACACGTTGAAGAAGCTAACATGTCCGCTTGCTTAGTATGCAATGCTTGCTGGTTATCTACCATTCGATGATGACCCCGCCAATCCGGACGGTGATAACATCAACCTCCTCTATAAGTATATCGTCACGACTCCTCTCACGTTCCCCGAGTATGTGACTCCACATGCCCGTGATCTCTTGAGACGGATATTGGTCCCGGATCCGCGGAAGCGAGCAGATCTGTTCGAGGTTGCACGGCATAGTTGGCTTAACGAGCACTCGCACATTGTATCACACATAACTAGCAGTACAACCAAGGTCGCTGATATTGCTACTACAACCGTTTCTCATGGTACGGCGCTCTCGGGACGTATACACTGTTTACCTGTTAATTCGTTGCCTCCAGCAGAACAACCTAAAGAGGCCCCATCCCTCGGACGCAGTGCGTCGGTTAGGGAGCCTCCTAAAACCTATCAAAACACAGTCCCCTCTCTGGGCGGCCTTGTTCACCACGCTGGCGATATTTCACAGGAACAACCTGCCGAGAGCTCCAAGACTACCCGGGACACGAAACGGAGAACCGTTCAGGTCGAATATGTTGCTCCTTCGTCTCAGACTACGAGAGGGGATGGCATGGGATCAACCACGGCAGGGCCATCGAGTGTTGCTGAAACCGCTGAGCATGCGCCCACTGGAGCAAGGTCAATTAGCCGAGATGCTGAGACTGTCTCACCTACCAGTGGCGTACAGCAAGGCGCGCCTATGGCGCCAAGCGCACAAGTCGGAGATTCCAAGGCACAGCGCCCACCATCTGGGCATTTGCCTCGCTCAACTTCGGACTCGACAGCACTTACGGGAGCCGGGACAATGCCCCAACCACAATCTATGCGGCCTACAACGGGTGCGTCCATGTCTTCATTCAATACCGGTCGTTTACCGTCGCGAGGATCCTACGGACAGCCCGTGGCTCCCACTGTGGCGGCGACCAATGCGCATGGTCGGCTGGCACAACCGAAGAGCAAGCAATATGTTATCTCGAACCCCATCCCTCAGGATCCTTCACAACAGGCTGCGGTGTCGATTGGCCGTCCGAGCACCCAGGCTCTTCCTGCAAAATTCAATACAACCCCCCGACAAGAGCCCCCGAAAGGCCACAAGAGATCGAATACTGTCTCGGGAATTGGCGAGAAATTGTTTGGGCGGTCTGGGTCCATTTTTGGAGGACGTGGTGGACAGGCAAATGCTCGTCAAAAAAGTGGCAAACGTTATCCTCCTACAAGTATGAGAGACCCTTATGGTGGCGATATGCCCCGGATGTCTATGGATTCACGGCGATCCATGCAATATGGATCAAACCGGAAGACGAGCGAAACAGGTGGCGAGAGTCGGCCTCGTAGATTCTCCCTCTTGCCGGCGTCATTCTCCCTCAAGGGTCTTTCTTCGAGTAGATCTCAAACCCCTGATGAAGAGTCGCAGGCTGATCGCTCCACGGATAATCGGGCTCCGCAAAAACCATCAACCGGGGAACTACGACCCCGTGCACGTGCGACCAGCCACGGAACACAAGATGCAATAGGAGTCATGCCAGAAGGGGCACCGGCAGATGAGGTCTTCGTCCAAGATGAGCCCATCAACTACCAGGCCCGTATTGATGAGCAGTTTGCGGTGCTGCATGGGACCCAATCTGCGACGTATCAACCAGCGTCCTACTCGGCTGAGCAGGTGTACCAGAACGACAATGATCACTATTATCGGAACCAATACGCCAATCACTCGACACCGAACTACTACGAAGAATACAATGGCCCATATGACAGCGCGCCTCGGCAATCTACGTCGGTTGCCCGACCAACAAGAGGGGCCAGTGTCCTACAAAAGAATCATCGGAAATTTGCCGATGCCTATGAGTATGAGCGCGATTCAACACACCACTCTGGCAGCTCTGGTGCGGCCAGGAAAGTGATGGATTCTTCCGTCGACGAGCGAAGTCGAGGGCTGGCGATGACCGCTAGATCAAGATTATCTTTGTTTATTTCTCTATTTCTCTTCAACCAACCCGATAGGTTAACATGTCAACATTTTGGTGTGCCCATGCAACACCAATCAAAACAAACTGGCTATTCTGGTTGTTGGCTTCACCCCTGTATTCCGGGATTTGAATATGTGAAGATGTCCAACAACTTTTAACACATCCCACCCGTTGTCGAGATGCCGTGTCGTCCACGTGGGACTTTAGAGCTCTACGCGCAAGATGGAATAAGGCCCATCTCCATCGAACATCACACTTGGAAGGAGGATTCGAGTCGACCAGGCTCTTAGATTCCCAACAATAAAAGAGCAGAGAGGCTATTTGGATACCCCATGATACCCAGCAGCTTTCGTCCCCTTCTGTTGCAGCTATCGGTTTGTCCTCTCTTGTACCAGCAACCTTTGTTCCCGCATACATATCCATGTTTAGCCTTTTTATTTTATTTATTTTATTTTTCCTTTGTCAGAATAAATTTTTTAGTTCCTTTGTTCAATTTTTTTTTCTTTCCCTGTTATTATAGCCCTGACTGTAAATTGATCCCGCCTATTTTTCTTTTTACTTGAGCAGCTTTTCTAACTTCTTGTCTTCACTGTTACCAAGTCACGATCCTCCTAAGAGAGGGGCTTTTGATATGACATGGCGGACATCTTAGCTGAGCAGGACTATTTGAGGGTAATTTAATATGTTTACTAGCCATTGGAGACCTCTCACATGCGATTCATTGTCGTGCCCCCCATTCCCCCCACCTTAGATATACCTCTCTATTGTTTGATATCAGTGACAACTTTCATGCTTGAGAATGTACATTCAGCTGGGGCATATACGCTGATCTGCTTCTATACTGGCAAACACCCATGCCTAGTTTTAATACAGTAACATATTAATTGGAAGATTTCCTGAATCCTACCTGGAGGCCCTACACTGCCTAATACCGTATTGGAAATCTATGAATAGATCTTCAAGTAATAATATACCTGTTGACTGACTTCGCAACGGCGTCTATATTGAAACACTACGCGCCGAGGCGGACGGGGCGGAGCATGTGTTTGGCCCCATACAAACAAATGGAAGCAAGTCACAAGAACAACGGGAAATAACGTGTACAACTAACGTTGTGTCCAATGTTGGTGTATAACAATCTTTCACAATGGATAATACTTGGCTTGTTTCAGGCTCATTTATAATCCCATTGTTGGACGCGGCCGTTGGGGAGCAGCCAAGAATCTCGGCTAAGAGGATCTTCAGATTGACAGGGATCTTGAATGTTCGGGCCGTTTGCTGATATTTATAGATTTAAGCGTTGGTTGTTGGCTTTGGTGTGTATACTGTTTGTGGATGAGTGTGTGTTGTGGGGTGGCCAGATGCATTTCATATAGTGTTGGAGTAAGAGCAAGGTATATTTGACATACTGGTATGTGATTCGGGTTCTATATTCTTAGAGTCATGCAAGTTTGGGGCAAGCGGTTTGGGCGATCTAATGGGCTCTTGTTATCTTGGGTCTTCTCCACCGAGGCTTATTGAATCTCCAAACATGCAAATAATATAACAAAGTGTTTTTATTAGCAAGGAAAAATATGCCCAAGTTTTGATCTAACTATTAGAGTGGAGTCCTGGTTCAATGAGGCTTAGAAGGGGTCGATACATGGATGAGGAGGAGCAGTGCCCCATCTAAAGAGATTTACGAGGCCATTTAGAACATGGGTGTAGTATATCCCTCAGTCGAAGTGATGTAGTCTAGAGGATAGTCTACTATGAAAAAGCTTCTTCGGCAAAGTTATGAGGCACACTTAGGTTAGGTGATATCGCAGGAGGGATATGCAATTCAACTGAGGTATAATAATAGCTATCATTATAACAAGAAGAGAGAGGAAAAGGAGTATTTCTCCTATATATATTCTTAATGTGTCATCCTGTGAGTCCCTCCTCAACCACCATGTCTGTGGTCAGCTACTGATACATGTTACTTTCAAACGAATATACGTATATTTTACATTCTTGCACATGAACTGTCAAGATGAGCAGAGAAAACGCTCGAGGGTTACACTGACCCAACAGTTGGGGCGGACAACAAGCAACAGGGGTTGAGCTCTATATAAGATCTAGAGATCCTAGTCAATATAGCTTTCCGGTCGTCGCGCCTCTAGCCCTCGGCTTATGGCCCAGCTAAGCGTTTCAGAAACGCCCTTGTACTTTTTATCATGAAGTCCAATCTCTGCTACCCCGAGCATTTGGAGTGAAGAAGACCATCCTGGGTGGGCGGAGTTGTCAGATGTATTAGCTTTCTGAGCACCAAAGCTAGTTATAGTGAATCTTTTCTATTGTCTCACAGCTACTGGCATGGGGGTGGCTGGGAGAGAAGGCAAATGAGATAATGTTGTAAACAATTGACTCTATGAAGCTGCTGAGACTGTGATTAGAAACAGATCTCGAACCTTCGATACCCTGAATCTAACTAATCTTCCAACATCCTCCTCGCCCAAAGAGAAGAAGTAGTAAGTACAAACAAATAAAAAAATGAAAACAAGAAAAATAAACTATGATGTTATCTTGCAGTAAGTATGCTATTTTCCGTCCTACTCAGCCCCAATCCCATGACCTCCAGACCCATCTTGGCAAACATGCGAGTAGGAACCCTAAGTATGATACATCTGATCTTGCGCTAACCGATGAGCACAGCATGCCTATGGACGTACGTATGCACACAGTAGAAAATAGTGTGCCACCCAGATTATGCAGTTAAGGGTGTACACATAACAGCCAAGAAAGTAACGATAACAAATAAAGCATTCTTGCATAGTATTTCGAGGGTGGGTTACACCGACATCCCTCTGGTCTAGAAGGGGTTGTCGATCCCACACCCCACCTCCAGGTTGGCTTCGGCTTATCAGTGATAATGATGATGATGCAATTTCGGGTTGAATTTTCTTTTTTCGTTTTTTCATTGTTTCCCTTTTTCCCTTGCGGGTTTAAGCGATGCGAGTGTGGGTGTTTTGACTTGACGGGGTAAGTCTTTCCGCGGGAAAGGCGACAATCTAGAATTTTAGGTTATCGTAATAGTAACTTGCGGATTATTAACAGATGGTGCGTGTCTCCTGAAAAATGAGGATCTGAGGATCCGCATGGATTGATTGGTAGATTCAGTAAGCTACAGTAAGCTTGAGATAGGTACCTAGCGTTGGTGATTTTCCCTCTTCGAGTTACTCCGCGGCGGGCTTTTGCCTAGTTGGGGTTACGGAGAACGAGGACCCTGGGAGATAGCTTCGTACTTTTTTCCCCTCTACTTTTTATGAAGTATACGTGATACAAACAAGGGATCTTGGCAGGTTGATAGACGAAGTCGATCTTGAATCTATTATTGCTTGGCTGTGGAAACAACGCAGGACAGCCTATTGATTTTCAATTTCATTGCACAGGGCTTGGCAACTATATCAACATCTCCTTGGCAAACATTCACTTTATGCTTCACTCCCCCCCACCTTTTCCCCTGGCAGTGTGGTATCATTGATATGGTGAGATAAACACCGAAACAGTAAAAAGAATCATTCAAGGAGATAAAAAGCCATCTCGTAAAGAAACGATGTTTGAAAACAATAAAGAAATGAAACCGCTAGTGCTCCTTCCCTTCGTCCGGTGCAGGGTGGATTTGGGCCGAGTCGCTCGCAGATGTATCGTGTCCAGCGCGATTGGTGAAGTGGGATGGCGTGCGCGAGCTTATGTGGCGTTAGAATTTAGTTCCGGTCTTGCTCGTGTCCCAGGTAGAGGAAGCCACCGGGGAGAGGGGAGAAGACACCCCTCAGCTGTGATCCGGTGGAAGTCGTGGAAGACTGGCTGCTGGAGCGTTCACGGACTTGAGTTGGCTCCTTGCTCTCGACTTGGTCATTCATGGGACCAGAGTGAATGGGAGAGAGAACGAGGAACTTGTGGGTAGGAGTGTAGGTATACATGTTGAAAAGTAGATTGGTATCTGGTTAGTCTTTTGGGACTGGGAAAGAGGGAGAATAGAAGAGTAGATGGCTTTGAAGTCTTTAGAACACTGAAAGAGCTTTGGACTGAAGGAGAGAAAGAAGAGGCTTGAGATTGATCTGAAGAGATTTCTCGGTTGGACTCGGCTACCTATTTATACATGAGAGGGAAACAGCCAAGATCCTCAGAAGGGAAGAGGGGTCGACAAGGTTCATGGATGATACCGGGAGGGACGTCGATCTGTGTCCATCCCACTTGCAGAGATAGTGGAGAGTCCCAGATTACTCCATACAGAGGTTGAACATCCCAATCTACTTCCCCGAGGTGGACCGGGACAGGCTGTAATTCACATGTTTCGAACATTCTTTCATGTCTCGGCGGGGCAGAGAACGTCATTGTTGGAAGATCCCCCCTTCCTTCAAGGCTCTTGGCTCAGGAAAGACCCGGTGAGTTGTCGCCAATATGTGCATAGCTCCCTCAAGTATCCGGGGAATCCCCAGTAACCTGCCAAGCCGAAGCTGGCCGTTCGTTGTGCAAGCTGAGGTGTTGTCCCTTGTACAAGCATCTGGGCGGATACGACCCGAAAAATCAGCCTCGGGTGATCAGCAACCAGGAAGCGAAGCCAAGAAACGTGCCGGGACTATTGGATTGCTATCGGTGATCGATAGGCTGAGGGTCACTCCGCGTACCCAGAAGGGACGACGGTGTACAGAATGTTTTCTGCCTCCCACATTCCTTATCAAGAGACTACTAGTATTCAGGGCACATGACCCCAACCAATGAGTCTCGCCCGCTTGGCAGCATGCTTGAGCTGACACTTTTTCCTGACGCTTTCTAGAAGGGATGCGAACGGTAAGGGATAAGTTAAATTACCCAAGCAAGGGGAAGTTTCAGCCACATTGGGGGAAATGAAAGCTGGGGGTCTGTTTGTTTTGTTTTGTTGGCTGACTAAATGTACGGTCCTCTTCCAAAATGATGTCAGTTGGACGAATTCAGTACATTTTGTCCATGGTAGGACATAGTAAGCGATAAGTGCTTCAACACAACGTTCGGCAACGCCCGTTAAATCTGCAAGAATCAGAAACATCGTTGGAAAGATCTCTGATCATGGGCTTGGTAGCATAAAATAAAAGAAGAGAAAAGGAGAGAAAAAGAGCCCAAGTGAACAAGCGGCTCTCAAACCGCAGCACAACAT